ATTCACAAGGAAAGTGACTGATATCGCATTTACCTCCGACTTTTGCAATATTGTATTTGCTCGAATTATTTAATTTTTCGTGTCCCAGGTGTGGCGCTTATTCGAGAGCGGCGCTTGTTTGAGGGCGGCGCTTATTCGAGTAAATACGGTAATCATTTACATCCCTCGCGTCCCTGTCCCACCTCCCCGCGTCCCATACTTGACGTCCCCAAGTCCTTCGTCTCGTGTCGCCAAGTCCCAAGTCGCCACACACGCGTCCCAATGTCCCTGTCCCACTTTTATACACAGCCTCCTGAGGCGATTTTCAGTAAAAACGTGCTGCAAATTTATGACATAAATTTCCTTTCAACTATAAAGCTAGCCCAATGGATTTTGAGACGCATATTTCCCTCCCAGTATAAGCCTAGCCAGCCGATTTTGAAACGCAATTTTCTCTCCGAACTAAAGGGCCTTTGAAAAATATAAGCCCCGGGGCTTACTTTCGGAATTTTATGGTAAATTGCGTACAACAAATTCTGTTACAAAAAGTAGATTTATCGGGACTGTGCTCGGAGGTCTCAATCTAATTAAATAATTATCTGTTTATCTTTTTCCCCTATTTGGACAATGGGATATAGTGACAAACTATATAAGCAAAAATCTCTAACGGGGGTATTAGTATTTAAATAATGATAATTAAGTTGTAGTAACAAATTTGGGCAGGACAGTTGGAAAGTTTTGGACAAGCTAAGCTGAAACGCTAATCGAGTATGGATTGTGTGCCAGTGTCGATCCATTTTCAAATGCAAATCTTTTTAATTTCTTCTTGGTAACTATTAATTGTGTCTTTCTTTAAACTAATCTTTACTTTATTATCTTAGTTTTTTTTAATTTACAGCGACGTTCTTTCATGAACGTTTTTTAGGGAAATATTGTGGTAGTCATACTAGACACAGTAAGAAATTAGGTTTTTTCTCTTTCAATCTATATGAGAATTTCCTTGTCAAATTCGAAGTCCGATTTTGGCAAATTTTTACTCCACGCCTGTGGAACGGGACAAAACGAAGGCCAAACCTCGTGGGGATGAGCATTTTCCTAAAAGTATTACAAGCGTCGAGAAACCCGCGAGGCTGTGCACAAAAGCTTTTTGAAAACAGGGGCCTTTTTTTGTGTGTGTGTGTGTGTTTTGTAAGCATAGTTCAGAAAAGACAATCATTTCAGTGACCACACAACAGTTCAATAACCACGACAGTGATTCAACGACCACACACCGTTTGTTCACGTGCAGCCGCGGGGCAAATAGCCACAACTAAGTTAGTTTCTTTTTTTACAATAATGTGTAGCATTAACTAAGTGCAAGAGAGGATAAAGGTCAGAGAAGGAATCCGCCATATACATGTAGGCCCTATACCCATCGTAATCCCTCTAAAGTTATTTTTGGAACGTACCGGTTTTTCAGTGGATACTTTCTCGCGCGTTGCGTGGAAGTTTCATGGAGGAGCGAAAGTGCAAAACATGTCGGGAGTGCGGGAGTTGCGATAAATGCGAAACAAGAGAGGATAAAGAGGGTTTATCTTCCCTTAAAAATGAGAGTAGTTTTTGAGAATTTTTTAAGTATATATTTGAACATGTATCAATCGGCATTCGTATAGAGAAACAGAAAATCGTCAGAAGATTCACAAAATAAATTGAAATAAAGTGTTGACAGGCTAAACACGACTCATAGGCTCGTGATAGTGTGAAACGTGACCGCCTTACATTATGCTTTGAAACAACAACGGTTGTCCATTTTTCTATTACTTAGGTTATGCAGTGCATGTAGCATATTTAATTTTTTTACTGAGCAAATCCTACTTTGGCCGCTCTATATTTAGCTCATACATTGAGACTGAGAGGTCCGGTGTGGTTTGAACAGGATTAATTTGATCTCAGATGCAGTTGTTACTGAAGCACTATAAATTTTCTTTAATCTCAAAGTCTCAAGCTTTTTATTGCAGCTAAATCATGACCTTTTAGTAAAGATTTTAGTTTCTTTGGTTTTCTCCAAAGTGCATGCTTGCAATTGCATTAAGGATGGAAACAAGTGCATTAAGGATACACATTAAGGATGGAAACAAGCTTGAAGCCTTTTAAAGCCAAACTAAAAACTTTACTTTTTAAAGAAGCTTATGATTTATAGTTTTTACGACTCATGAATGACTTGTTGATTAACGCTTTTTTTAAAGATGATTTTGATTAATTAGTTTCAATACATTTTTTTAAATCGAATCTTAATAATTGCCTTTTTAATTTTATATATAGAGAGATTTATAATAATTTTTAGTGTTTACTTAATTAATTTATTTTTATTCTTTTTTTGTTAGTGCACATTAGATCATATATTTAAATGCTATTTTGCGCCTAATAAATAATAAATTATTATTATTAATTACTTTTGAATAGCTACATGCGTGCCGGAGCTAGTTAACTTTTGGTCCGTCAAGGTGACGATGATTTCCTGTTATGTTCTGCCGCGAGACGCTAGACGATCTTTTTATGTAGTGTTTGCAGGCTGTTGAATTCTCACGGCAAACTATCTTCAGATCCGAATTGTTGCTTAAACCGAAGCCACACCAAGAACATTCTTCAGGCGCTGATACAATTTATTTTGTTTTTCTTGTTATAAGTGACTCACTTTAGCCAGTGGAGCACGATATCTTATAGTTCCTTTGCTTTGAACTATTTGAAGCTTTACCATAGCTGGCTTTACAGTCTATGCGACTGTACTTCTTCTTTTTAAAGCACTCACTACACTCACTTCCTTGAAATCCCATTCGTCCGCAAAACGTATACACGCGTCGTTTCCCTACGGCTGCAGTTTACAATTTGATTCGCGAACGTCACGAAGCATTGCGTGGGACTTCGCCCAGCTGTCAACATTGGTAAAATTAAGGACACGTGATTGGCTATCACTCAACTCTCTTGGGAACAA